CTATTGCAGACTTCAAGAGACCCCCTCAGTTCTTTGCCCCAAATATTACTGATTGTCCCTAAAAAGATGATAATATGAATAGTATCAAAAACCTTAGACTAGAATAGTAAAGTCCAGCTAACGAGATGAGTGTTTTTAAGCACCACTATATCATAAGTAAGATATACATAGTGGGATACCCCAGGCAGTGAATCCTGAAAAAAAAAAATCATTGGCCCAACTGTGCAAGGAAACTTGTGCAGAAAAATCGGAGCCATATTGCAAGAGTTCAGGAATAATGGTGCTCCACCCAGGACCACTTGAACAGAGCCAAAAAATAAGTCATTTGAGAGAGAGAAATTAAATGCCCCACCTGCTTAATGATCAATGGCTTTCCAATGAAATGTATACAGTAGATGCCACCTCTTCAAATATTTGAAAAGTCTCAAGAGTTTAGTTATATACACTCCCAAAGATAGTTGGTTTGACATAATGTGTGCAGCCAATAGCATTTGTTAAGATATTAACATCTAAATTCAACATTGTATAATCCATGAACTGGAAAACATGACTAACATTCTTTACTTGATTTTTTAACTCCTATTATAGCTAAATCATGTGTGTGTGTATCTAGATATATATATCTATACCTATCTGTGTCGGTATAGTTATATATCAATATATAGTAAATCAACTGTGTCAGAAAAATCAATGGCTTGAATTTCCACTTATTTTTTAGACGTATTTCACATTGAACAAAATTCAGTAACTGATCATCATCACTTCTGAAATAGACTACTACTTTCAAAACATCACTGAATTATCTTGACTATCTCATTCTTCTTTGGAGTTTCTGTTTTGGTAACGATTACTTTGTGGGTGACATTTTACTGAGAATGATGGAAATGGCAATGAACAGCCTCTCCTTCTAGGTCAAGGATGACAGATCAACTGACTGATGACACTTCTTGTGTGGAAACAAAATGCTGACTGGTTGGCAGCATTTTTCTCAGAGAAGATAGAAATTCAAAACATTTGCATATCCCTTATCTCATATCAATAAACTGTGGATCTCTAACTTCCTCTTAAGTCTAAAGAAAAATGACCATTTGTGCAAAAAAAGTTTTAAAGACAAGCTAAAAAGAACAGTCATGCTCACTGATGAGTTTTAGAAAAAAGAAATCAACCCAATTCTGCTAAACTGAAGCACATGCACTTGGTTTACATTACATTAAGAAACAATAAAAAGCATACTAACTAATTTTGATACAGTGCATGTTTTCAAATAAAGCAATGGGAACTCTTCAAATCAAAATCTAGACTAGAGTAAATACTGGACTATCAGGAAGAGTCTGATCTTTCTATGAAAATATATCCCAAACTGAATTTTCTGCTTCCTTTTATTTACTTAGAAAGCAATTTTAGTAACTAATAATGCTCAAGTCTTTAAATTCCATGAGCAATGTCTTTTAATGTACAAAAAAAGTGCCTTTGTGCAAGGCTTCAAATCTCCAATTCTTTCAGTGATAACTAAAATAAAAACCCAAATAAGACTAAAAATGTCAAATCTCACTCTAAAAATAGTACCTATGTTTTAGCCTGGAATCTGAAAAATGATGGCCACCTATACCCAAACCAAATACAACAACCAGCTGGTCGACTTTAAAGGCAAACAGAAACACTTTCTATGAACACTACAAAACGTGCTTGCTCTTGTATTTCACATCTTACTAATGCAGCAGGGAAGTTTGGGTAAGATGTTGAATGTGAAAGGGATTTCATTAGTTTTTTTTTTTTCTGTAACATTTACTTTTGGGCCACAAGACCCTAAACACACTTTGACAGTACAGGTCATGCATAGCTTGCAAGTCAAATGTTTTACAGCTACTGTCTAACTACTATTTTTGGACAATAGATTCACATGCAGCTAATGATCCCAGAAAAGGGGCTTCATAAAGCACTCTTGAAGCTTCACTGATCATTCCTTGGCCCAAAGTATCTAAGTAATAAACCTAAAGGGCAATCAATGAACTTTTTTACTGTCATACGTGCGATCATATAGTTTTTAAGCCCAGAGAGGAATTTTTTTTTTCAGCCAACTACATGTTACTAAACCACAAACTGTCTTCTTAGCCTTAACTCTGTTACTCCATTAACACTTTGATGCTAGATCCCATCGCACAACCATCCCGGATTGCACTGTTCAGTATGGTAGCCACTGGCCATATGTGAGTGACTAAATCTAAATAACTTAAATAAAATACAAAATCCAGTTTCTCAGTAGTACTAACCCCATTTCAATTGCCCAAAAGCCAATGTGGCTAGTGGCTACTGTACTGGACAGCATAGGTCATAGAACATTTCCATCATCCGAGAAAGTTCTCTTGAACAGCGCCAATCTAGAAGATCCCAAGGGCTGCACTAGCACACGGTTTAACCTTCAAGGGACCTGCTCTTAAGTCATGTGCAAGATTAAACTTAATTATATTCTTAAGGAAAATACCTTATCGCTTTCTGATCATAAAGTATGACTGGAACTGAGAAGTGATTTGCCTTCTCATCACAGCTTATGCCCCAGGTCATTATACAAAAATTTTCCAAAGACAATGCTTTTTAACAGCATACTTGGCTCTACTTAACATATTAAGCATTCTATTGCTTATGTCAAGATCATTAATAAAGATGAAAATTCATGCTTCTTACAGTTTACTATTTACACAACACTCACTGTCCTTTACATCTAAGGGGAAGAGGGGAGAAACTAATGGTTTGCACTTTAAAACATTTAAATCACATGGTTTTCCTTAAATGTCTATACTCTTCCTTAAACCAATCCTCCTTTCATTTCCCAGAGAAGTAGACGCTAACTAAAATGAATATATAAATCTACAACAACAACAGAAAACTTACAGCAATAGTTGAGTTAGTAAAGCGTATTCATCCACCCTGAAAAGGATCAGAGGCCAATAGAGATGTCAACAGGCCTAAGAAGGAGCAAGAGGAATCTGAAGTGTGAAGTTCTTGTCTCCCTTTCGCTGCAAAATTACAAGCTGCCACACACCTCTGTGGGCCTCGGTGGACTCATCGACAACGTGAAGCCACCAGAGGTTGCTTCCAGCTCTAACTTTCTGTGCTTTCAGTTGTGATTTTCTCTACGGATGTGCAACTGTGAATTCTGGCTGATTGTGTCACTGGACTTTTGTCACATGGGGTAGAGGCATTGTTAGCGTCATGGGTAAATGCCAGAAAAGGCCAGAGCAACAGGATGCCAAATAACATTAAAACATCATTAAGTCTATAAAAATTCTATCTGGCAGGCTGAGACATCACATACACACACACACACACACACACACGTGCTTGAACGCACACCCTAACAAGCAAATGGACTAATAACTGCAGGTAGAATCCATTTAAACAATGTTTCTTACGTCAGTAAGATTCACACAAAAAATTCTGATTTGGGTTGTTATTGTTCCCTTAAATTATAAAGTCAAGAATCTATCATAGAGCCGATTAATTTTGCACTGCTTAATCACAGCTCTAGCATGGGACTCTTTTGAAGTAAAAGTTACATGGACATTGTTACCCTACAGCTGTGCACTAAGAAACACAGGTGCTATATCATCACACACATTAGTGTCTATATGTAACCTACTTAACATGTAGAACTCTACCACATACTACACTACAGAGCCAGTCATTTCATACTGTACATAAATGTATGTAGATATCATTCACAAAACTAATTTGAATATGGCATGGCTTAAAATTGCAACGCTAAAGTCCATCTGAAATGTAGCATTCTTAATGCAACATTTCTGTGGGTTTTTTTTCCCAAGAGGAATAGAAATTAGGTCAGACATGCATTAGGGCAGCCTGGAGAGTCTGAGAAATTGACACTAACCCAAGAGTATACTATGTTACGTAATAGAGGATAGTATTCAGCTAATATGATACCTAAATTATTAATACCAAATAAATCCTAGATTATTCATTGTATAATGCCCAATAGCTTACACAATAAAATGGCATTTTAACCTAATTTCTACTTTGAGCTTTCAAATACATTTCCTAAAGGTCTTATGACAAATTTGAAAGATCTGAAAAATCTGAGTTCATATTTTTATATTGAATCCTCACACCAAAGAACAGTGTTAGCTTTGAATTCTAGTCATTACATTGTCATTTTATCTCAAATTCCATCACTTTAATGTGCATATTTTGTGCTGCTCAAAGGTAATAGTTAGCATATAAGTAAATTAAATTATCTCAATGTTACAGGGCTACTTCTAGCCTTGCTTTTTGGAACTGTCATGCTCATCTTTCCCTTCCCCTATTTTCATGGATTCAGTGGAACATAAACAGATATATTTACGAGAGGAGTCCTGGTTACATATCACTTGCTTCATGAATTCCATAAAAAGAAATTAGAAGAGAACTGTAAAGCTCACAGCTATCTCTGAATGCACACACATCTCGGCATAGGAATTTATCATTTGATACCAGCAGATCTTTTTTCCTGAGCATTTACAGACCATTACACATTTAAGAATATTTGAGAATTTATGATGAACTGGTCCACTTAAATTAGGAATGTAAGTTGTTAGTTTACTTTTCCACTTTTCTCAATAAAAACATATTTTGAAATACAAGAGATTTCCTCACTTATACCAACAAGAGGAAACTGGAATTCTAAATGGTTTAACTCTCATGCAAAAATATGTTTCAAAAAACCATGGACTGTCTATTAAAATGCCAGCCCAGGTTTGTCCTCCATTAACAACACTCATGGCTATTACAATACCCCAAAACTGGGAGACAAGATAGACTCTTCTGTTAATCTCTAACTGTGCCTCATAGAATACAGGACTTGAATGCACAGAAGAGGAACAAGTGTTGGAAGTGACCTGTGACAGCTCACTGGGAGTGTCTCGGTGCCCATGAGGTGGTCACCATTTCAGACCCTGGACTCATTCGCACCCACAAAGTCTTACTCTCGGGATTCTTCTGAAAAGATTCAAAACCTGAGGTAAATCAAATTACACACACACACACACACACACACACACACAAATACACGATATTTACATTTAAAATTCTTATTTTGTGAGATGGCTTGAGAAAAACTGGCATACAAGTTTCCCGTGGGGTTAGGCATTTCTCATTATTACTCAGTTTATTGCTCCCCTGTTGGGCTTTCAGTTTAATAAACACATAGCAAGCTCTAACTACAAGGGAAGAAAAATGAAGGTACATGACAAAACACAACACACTGGAAACACTTGTTCAAATATTTTCTTCAAAAAACAACTGTCCACTTAACTTACTTTAATTTGGGTGTCATTCAAAAAGTAAAAAAAAAAAGCCTTAGCAACTAAATGAAGACTGGGTTTCATTTAAAAAAAGGAAAGAAACCAGCACTGCATGTCATCGCTGAAATTTTACACAGATTCTCAGGTTTAATTCTACTCGTATACATAGCATCTTTGTTTTAATCTACCACATTTAGAGAAGATCACATTGTACGCACTGGCACAATTTAACATCTAAGTAGAATATGTCTATCTTGTCATATGATTTTGAAAAATCATAAATTACAGTCCATTTAATAAATGATTATGAGGATACATGCAATCGTCTTCAAAGCTGTTGCCATCAATACCCAGAGCGATCTTGCTGGTATCTTGTTGAGAGCTCACACTCTGCCCCTCGTGTCAGTCTTCGGGTAATCAGATGGCAACCCAGAGGCCAGCGCTCGGCACCAAATGATCAGCGTCGCCCCCCATCTCCTCACCACGACCCCATCACCAACACCCGCTCAACCCCTAGTTGGCACCCACAAGAGACTCCCCGCAGCCCTCTTCAGCCACAGGATATCACAGTGAAGCGCTTAGAAATGCAAGACATGTTGTGCAGCACGATGCCGAGAAGGAAGACCAGGACGCAGGCCACCAAGATCACAGTGCACACCCCAGACCAGGTGGAGCTTTTCACCACACCCCGCCTGTCTTGCTCCTCCTCCACCGCCTCCTGGGGAGCTCCGCCTTGCAGAGGCTGCTGTTCAGCAGGGATGGTCACCACGGTGACAGACTTCTGCTGGCTCCCAGGCAGCAGGCGGCAGCCCATGTCTCCGGGCAGCAGCGCTCGCTCCTTGGAGATGGGCAGGGGCAGCATGTAGCACCCATTGCTGGGAAGTTTGATGAAGACTGGGGTGTGCTCGGAAGTGTGTGGGATGGCAATGACAGCAAGGACCTCGGGGTCATCAGGGAGCTGCGACACGGAGAAGCCCGGCGGCAGCTTGGTGATGCCCCGGCACCAGGGGCACCTCACATCCTTCTGGCTCGTCCTCATCTGCTGGAGGCACACCGAGCAGCAGGTGTGTTTGCAATCCAGCAACTTGGGCCTTCGCCGGGGGCTGTAATAATTGAAACAGATCTGACATTCCAGCAAAGAATCTTGGGAGAGCGTCTCCATCGTGGACCGTGAGCAGAAAGGTCAAGGCCAAGGGGAAGGAGATTGTTCTGAGTCCACCACTCCGGCACCTTCCTTCTTCGAGTCTTTCCAAAGTCGTGAGGTGGTGGGGGAGCTCAGAGGCAGCGAGCATACTCAGGTGTGTTCATTTCTGAAGGAGACAAAAAATGCAAACAAAGTTAATTATTTCAAACAAGCTGAGATGTCAGCATATCTGACGGATTTGTACCACTGCTCAAAAGTCTCGGCACTGGGTCAAAAGTGTAAAACTTTCCAAATTGTGAGACTGTAGGATTCCCATAACGTCCAGTGGAAGGTGAATGAGTTGTCTCAGATGGCCTGTCACGGTGACTACTTTGCTCATTTCTAAAGAAACGAATACCTCTGGGGGGATATAAGATGCCCCCATATTTCATAAAGAGGGAGTCTGTTGTTTCTGCATCGTACATTTCAGTGGTCCTGGATTGTTTTTCTAAATACACTGGAGTAATTCTCTTGCTTCCAAACAGTTGATAGCATTTCCTAAAAGTAAATTTCTTTCCTTAGATCTTCTGATCTTCTTTTTCTGACTCTACTTACCCTCCTATAAGCATTCATTGCCAGATGCGGGCAACTTCACAAATCTAGGTACTTCATGTAACTAGCTTGCTCACTTTATCTGGGTTAGGACCGTTCCTCTCTCATAGGTAATTAAAAGGACGCCACCAAAGAAGCAAACGCAGCCATCTGTTATCTTTTCCACCCAATCAACTGAACCAGGGTAATTCTCATCAACTGGTTTTAAATAAGACAAAAACAAAACAAAAAAAGACCAACACAACAACAAAACCAGCAGCAACAATGAACCTTCAGGTAGCTGGGGTCACAAAGGCACACAGACCACTAGGATTTCTCAGTCAGTTCTTTTAATTTCTATTTAGGCTTGCATCAAGTAACATGACTACAAGCAAATACTATTAATTCACTGATCATAATCAAGTATTATATAGTGAAAGTTGTCAGAGAGGACTAGCAGGCAGCCTTCACCATAAAAAAAAAAGTGTTAGCCTCCTGGTATGGAAACAAGGCAGAGTAACTGAGTTCAACTTAAGTGGGGTTTGAGGCACCCCGAGTGCTCCAGCAGTATTTCAATAAAGACTGCCCAACCCTGTTTCTTATCGAAAGCATCCAAATTATGTGTCTCTGGATGGAGCCACAATGACGCTGGAAAGAACTATTCAACCACTATTGCAGAAATAATTGCTAGTCCTAGAATCCTACCTACAGCCAGAGGCAGGAGCTAATAACACAGAAAAGTTTCTTCACATTTTTCTCAAAAAACGAACTCTTTTCTCTCTAACTTCTTTTGTGAAATTAAGAATGCACTCCTCCCCAATGACACACAATTTGTTAAAATCAAAATTGAGAATTCAAAAACAGTTACGTTTAAAGTCAAAAATAATCACTGATAAAAATTAACAGTGACGATCAAAAGAGCAACATATTTTAAAATATTTTAGCTATAGTAAGAGCACCCAAATTAAGTTATTGAAAGTAAAATATAGTAATATAGCATTCAGAAAGCTCATATCATAATCAACTGCTTATCTATCCACTAATTCAGGAAATATTTATTGGATAATTGAAATTTACTAAGAGTAGAACTTAAATGTTCTCACCAAAAAAAGGATAACTATGTGAAGTGATGGACATGTTAATCAACTCGATGGAGGGAAGCCTTTCACAAGATGTATGTCAGATCACCACGACGTACACTTTAAATATCTTACAATTTTATTTGTCAATTATATCTCAGTAAAGCTGAAAAAAAATAAAAATAAAGAAATATCTATTGAGTATCTATCATGCATTAAGCACAATGCTAGCTACTATAGGACATAAAGATGAATCAGACCCAAATCCTACTCTTAAGCAATTTAAAGTTAGGTAAGAATAAACAAATGAATATATTTTCTCTTCCATTCGCTTATTCATTCAAATTCTCATTGAATATCTACCATGTGTCAAGCATTAAGGTATCTATTTTTGTCCCTTGTAATAAGACCTTGTCACTGCCCATAAGAAACTCTCAGCCTGGAGATACTCAAACAGTTATGCACATAAACGGTTGTAATATAAATACAAAGTGATACACGCAATACAGGAGCTGGAGAAGTCAGGGACGGCTCAATGAAAAATCTGGATTATGGAGAGGATTTAGACATGTAAAATCTGGGGACAGGTTATTTTCAGGTTCAGAAATCAGCATGAGCCAAGGGAAGGAGGTGAGCAATTACAGAATGATTTCTATACTCTGGCTGTGACACACTGGCTAGAAGGTTTTTTCTAATACAAGAGTAACTTACAGATGACGTCTCTAAGAGTTTTATAGTTTTAGCTCTTACGTTTAGGCTTTTGATACAGACGGCTTTTAAAGAAACAGAATTCTCAGGGACCTGCCATCACCCTCCCAGAGGCCCAGCCAGGGAGAGCAGGTGGCACAGGGAGGGGAGAGATGAGCGTAGCCAGGCACAGGCCACAGGCCACAGAAGACAGACCATGGACAGCCTCGAGTGCTGGGCCAAGGATGTGGGACTTTCTAGTGGGCAATGGGAAAACACCAGAAAGGGGTAGAGCACGAGAATGATTCATCAGGCAGCTATACTCAGGATAGACTGGAAAGACCTGCTGGAGGCTATTATAATATTAGATAAGAGGTAATGAGTCGCTGAAGTAAACAGTGGCAATTACGATGGGGAGATGAAAACTGCTGAGAGGTCTTACAGAAGT